ACAGTAAAGAATACTTTAAATACAACTGGCCGTAGTCACTTTGGGCTATGGCTGGCTGTTGTAATAGCTGTGCAGGAAGGCTTGCAACAGAAGGTGTAGCGGTGCTTGTTGCTTGTTGTGAAAACGCCAATGCTGCAGCATTTTGCTGTTGTTGTTGACTTGCAACTGCCTGAAGCTGGGCTGCCAGAGCAGCCGCTGCTGCAGCACTGGCTGCTGTCTGCGCATTAGATGCGGATCTCGATGGTGACAAAATTATTGGAGCACCAGCCAGAGTTGGTGATCGAAGACTTCCAGGCTAAAAACCCCATAACTATTTATTCAGTCTAATCCTTGATCATCTAACCAAAAAAAGGCCGTGAGAAGAAAAAATTTTAATCAAGTAATTGAGAAAAAAGAGCTGAAAACACAGCATAACATAGTTCATTCTTACATGAATTTCATGATACCTGAGCAGCTGCTGCTAATGGAACCGGAGCCATTAGCCGCTGTATGGCAGCAAGTGAATTCTTATTGGCCACTGCTGCAACTTGTGCAGCACCAGGTTGATTTGAACTGTTTGAGCGATAAGTCCCATTGATTATTGCTAATTCCATCAACTGTTTACGTTTTAACTCATCATCGTCTGACTAAACAACGACAAACATTAGGAGTCTTAGTGGCTGCACTAAAGTAAAAAAAGCAGTTCTCCGTGCACTTATAGTCATAACAGAAATAACTAACCGACGGAACTAGCAGTTTTTTGACTTCTGCGACTGCGCGTTTTAACTTCAAGACAGCCCTATTCGGTGTATCTTCACACTGAATAAGTACATGAAGATCTTCCGACAAGTGTTCCCAATTGGGTTTGCCCCGATTGGCTTCCTCCTGAGTAATGCTAATCATTAATACTTCTTGTCTTTGAAAATTCTTCTTAAAAAACCTCCTTATCAAAATTCGTTGATGCCAATCAAAAAAGTCCGAAATCTTCATTAGGTAACCAAAACAAAAAAAATAGATGTCTATGAAAAAAACGAAACAGCGGATATAACTAAAAGAAGTTACTTTCGTTAAAAGTTGGTTAACAAAAAACCAAAAATAAAACCTTAATTTTATCCCGCATTGATCCTTTCCCACGCACCATAATTTTACACCCAGTTTCTTGTTCCAACTGTTTAGCGGTCATGCCCCTCGGCCCAAGTATCCTTCCCACAAAGTTGTACTGAAATATACCTGTTAGTGCATTATATTATCTGGAAGTAAAACATTTTTTAAATAAGCTGAGAGGAAAAAAGATAAATATTTTACTTCTGGATGTTCCTTAACAGGAACAAAAATCTTTTCTGTCTTTGTAATAACCTCACCCTCCGGCTCAGGAAGGTTAGCCATCGCATCTTTAGCGAACTCAAACTGGAATAAAGACACTCGAACTCGATTAATTTCTGAAAAAAGTTTCAAGCATAGGATCTACAAATGGGGGAAATGATTAGAGGCAAGGAAGCATCCTTGAAACCTAAGTAGCAAAACGACATAAGAATAGGTGCCCGACCAAATCGCCATAGAATACGCATTTTTATCAATCTAAATATTCTTCATTTCCTGTATTTTCAAGGAACTAATCTGAATAACTATATACGCAGCAATACTCAGATTCAACGAATCCTTGACATCCAGTGAAAAAAGCTTTGTCAAAAGTATGAAATTGCGAAAATAGACTTTGTGTTCAGTTAATCAAAAGACTAAAAACTTTGATATCTATAAAGTTTTTTGAGTGATTTTTTATAAATGTAAAAAAGGTTTATCACTAAGCAGCGCTTTGTTTGCAGATTTTTTTCGATTAAAAATCTCTTCCTAAGTCGGTAAAAAAATGAAATCTCAAATCAGCAACAAAAACGAATGAAAACCAAGTTTTAAATAATCTGTTTACAGAAAGATCGCTAAAAGCCTAGTTTACTGTTCTGCTCCTCGCTAACTCTACCTGCCCACCGTTTATCTTCCGCTTCTTTTTTTTAAGAACATAAAAAAAGCTATTAAGAACGTGAATTTGCGCATACCTATGTTGGAAAAAAGTCAGGATAAATAAAGTTTTGGAAAAAAATTTTATTTTTTTCAGCTGTATATAAAGGTAAAAAGACAAGTTTTTGTGAAAACAACTCAATAGACTACCTACTTGAAAACTGCAAAAGAGCTTTCTTTGCCGGAAAAATAAAAGTGACATTTTTGAAGAGTTTTAAGTAAACTAGTGCTCGAAACTGTTGAGTATTCTTGTAGCAACGGTACTCATTGCCGTCATCGCCATCACCATCATCAGTCATATGCAAACAGATGTAAAGCAACGCAAAGTTCAATTGTTCTTCCCTGTTAAAGCAAAATAAAGTGTCCGTTTAGCTAAAAAGCAAAAAACTGTACCCACTTCTGTTGATGAAAATGTTGATGTCGACGATGACGATGTTAATAAAGCAAAAATAACTAATCTGTTCCACTGAAATTACTCTTGATACACGTCTGTAAAAAAAAAAAAGATATATTTTTTTCAGTCCCTAAAAGCCATTTCATTAACCCTTCCAAGAATGAATTAGTTCCAGGCATAGCAAATAAAAAATAAAATTTTAACACAAAAATTCTTTTAGAACCTACTCATTTAAAAAGAGTTGCTGGCAAAAACAGCAAAAAGGAGTAAGCTGAAAAACTATCGGTCTTTTTAATTTTGCTATCAAATTTTCACATTATTAAAAAGATTAGTAGATATTTAGAATACCATCATTTCAGGTCATATGAAGTTTTTTAAAGCATAATAAATAACAAGCAGTACGCAGCACAACACATATTAAAGCAATTGTCGAACAAAAAAGCCTCATGACTTAAAAATAAAACCAAATAAAACTTTCAATAAATTATAAACCTATACAATAAAAATGAAATATATTATCTGTAAAGCAACTCATTTGTCTACGAAAAAACAAAAGTTGTTGTTCTGATACCAGCAAAAGACAATGGCGTTGTCCAGACACCTTACAATTCCTTTTTCAAAACTATGC